ACCTGAGGCATTTAGTGAGGCATTTCTGCCTAATCAGCCAACATCATGGCAAAAAAGACAAGCAAAAAAAATGAAGATGCTAATAATTTAAAGTAATTAATGCAGTAGATGTTTTCATGCCGCAGATCTACACATGGCAAGAATTCAGTGAAATTCAATGTGTAAGAGTGTAAATTTTGCATTACACAACCTATCAAACCCTGTGGAAAATCTGTATAGTTTTAACTGATCATAGAAAACAAAGACTAAACTTGTGCAGCCAGAAGTTGCAAAAAACATCCAAAACAAAGCACAACTAGTTTTAAGTGTTAACTTTTAATTTAACCATTAAGCATATAATGTAATTATGTCAAACATTGAAGATTTACTTGCAGTTTCCTTCGTACAGACAAACGTGGTACTTTTTGTTTACCACTGTTGCATTCAGCAGCTAGTGAGGTCGATCGCCGGCCTGTATCCATCTTTTGCATTTTTCCAGACTCTATTTAGGTTTTGAAACTGGAATAAACTGTATTCCACCCTCTGTTCGCTCAGGGTAATGTGTGTCTGAATTGCATGTTCGCCACTGACAACGTGTAATCATTTTTTCTGATGATTTTTCATGAACTTTCTATGACAAAGCATCCATAAAGCAAAACACTAACAATGTAGTCAGAGGAAAAGGGGAGCAGTTCCTTCAGGTAAGGGCGTTTAACTTGGGGACAAATCACGATAACCAATGGGTCACTTGCTGATGAGCCTACTGGGTTGATTGATAGATGTCTTATGCCAACTGTCCCCCTCTGACAATGCTGTTATTGCAAAATCCCTCAGCCCTCTGTGAAAAGCAAGCAGCCATCAGGGCGATGACTACTGGGTTGATGGTCCTCCTTTTACATGTGAATAACTAGGTTTGACTGTCACCAGCAAACTGGTTGATCCACTACAAGGTGCTGACTGAAGAAGTCTTTTGGATAAAAGACTAAATATTTCAACAATAAAGAACCTGTCCAGAGGATCTGATTCAACCTTGTTAGATGGGAGCAGCGAGTTCAGACAGCTATTTTCTGCCACTTGTAAATCACTTAAAATGTCAGCAGCTGATCACATTTGCTATTTTCATCAAAGAGTGGCTTAACAACCCATGAAATCAGTTTTTCTCTTGTTCTCAATTTTTGGAAACCCATTTGCTTCCAGCTGTGATGTTGAAGTCTGCTCTGGAAACCCAGATTTGTTTGTTACTTGTGTAACAAAAAATAAATTTGGTCACAGTCATTAGTACCACATGAGGTCAAAAGGAACATATTTTAGACATTAAATCAAAAATGGCAACAAACTCTGAAGTAAGCTCCCTTATGTCCTTATTTAGAAAGCATTTTTGCTTCCCCAGTCACCTTCCTGACTTTGAAGGAGGGTAATTTCCTCCTTTTACAATCTAGAACCAAGTATTTTTCACATATTTCTCAACTCTTAAAAACAGTATTTTGAATTTGGTTATAAATGAGCCAGTTGGAAACTAAACATTACCTGAATGTTTGCAGCCCACATTTGCATACATTTATACTTCTCTCACCCAGATGGAGTGGCATTTTTTACCACTTTACCTTTAAAACCCCAAGTGTGGAAACTTAAATAATTGTTTAAAAGGTAACTGGACGTTAAAAGATCCACATTTAGGTGTGGTTACTTAACTGCAAAGTTGTTTTTTTTTGTTGTTGTTGTTCTATAAAATAATGGACTTTGGCCCACTGCTCCCATTTTCATAGCACACACCAAAGTTATTCTGTCTTTCTTGTGTTTTCAAACTCGTATGATTTACTCACACATAAAAGTCAAATAAGGACAGTGAGTGCATTCCCTAATCTTTTATTCTGGTATTTCTTTTGTCCCTTTATGGTTTTATTGATTCTCCCTACCCTTGTCTCTCTGTTATTCTTTCTTCAGTCAAAAATCCAGCCTTAAAATATTTTCAGTGTTGATTAAACAAGAAAGTGACGCATAAGGTGTAGGTGAGTAGAGCAAAAGTTACTTTTTATAAAACTTTTTAGCATTGTCATAACTACTAGATGAAGTAAAACAGCAAAGGGAAAGTTATGTTTGAAAGCCTGTTTGTGCCATCACGGCACTAACGATCTGTTGTTAGGCTGATGGTCCTCCTTTTGCAAGTGAACAGATACCGTATTTTATTTTCCAAAGTATAGTTTGCATTAGTCAAAAAATGCCTCATGAAGAGGACAAAAACATATACAAGTCACTTCAGAGTATAAATCTCATTTATTTGGAAGTATATTTCACAAAGTGCAAGAACAGACATTTAATCTGGAATAACAATAACACAGAGAACATACCTAGGATTCTGAACAGGCTTAAGTAACTAGGGATGCACGATATTATCGGCATGGTATTGGTATTGTCCGATATTAGCGATAAAGTTCAATATCAGATATCGGCCGTTCCATCTAAATAGCTCACTAATATAAAAGGCACTTTTTTTTTTTATATTATATATTTATGTAATGTTACATCATTTTCAGCCCCTTTTTGGCATCTGCATTTGTTAGCAGGCCAAACTGACAAAGACCATGCAGAATAATGTAGTATTTTAATTCCACAGCAGAGAAAGCTATGTAGTCTCTGTAAGTAGGTCTTGGTAGGTCTAGGGAAAAAAATATTGGTGTCGGTTATCGGCCAAATAAGTTTTAACATATCGGCATATCGGATATCGGCCAAAAATCCAATACCGTGCATCCCTATAAGTAATATAACAAGCCAATGAGTCTGACAAGCAAGTTACCAGTAAATGTACCAATCTTATTCCACATCAATGAATCCATTGAATTCTTCATCCACTGTGTCGCTTCTGAACAACTCCGCCAACTCCAGAGGAGTAAGTTCTGCTTTTCCCCAGTCCCTCACAAGTTCCTCACTCACTCCAAACTTTCTTTCTGCTACTTGTTTACTGTTTTGGGCTGCATATTTTATTACCTGCAGTTTGTAATCTGCAGAATACAGTTTTCTTTTTGGGGGCATTTTACTTGTGTTAAGTTTTTCCTCAGTTGTCTCTAAGTGAATGTTGGGGGGGTGTTAGCGGTCGAGCAGCAGCATATAGTTGTCAAAGCCTAGAGCACCCTCTCACGGCTGCAAAATGTAATGTTTACTCTTTGGTTCATGTCAGTATGAATGAACATTTAACATGTCAGTCAAAAAATGTGTCATGGATAGGGGGGAAAAAAATGTAAATAAGTCGCTTTGGAGTATAAGTCGCATGACTGGCCAAACTATGAAAAAAACTGTGACTTATAGTCCGGAAAATATGGTAGCCACAAACGAGCTCACCAACAGACTGGTTGATCCACAATGGGAAGGTGCTGCTTATAAGACTGAGTTTATTGCAGCTCCTAAGACTGAAAGTTTTGGACAATGGAAGAAGTGTTCTTTCGCACAAACTAACTTTTTTCTAGATCTTCACAATTAGTGCATCAGCTTTGTGCACAGAGGAAAGATTAGAACTACTTTTAACATTTTATTCAACTTGGCAATGCATTGTCTTTCGAACGAAAAGCCAAACAAAAAGGATAACACGAGTCAGAGGCAGAAATTCTTTGTCATTCGCATCACATGTGGTACATGTGGTGGAGCAAAATTATGTACACAGAGTCCCAGTTACATCCTGCGTGAAAAGAGAATGTAAGAGAAATGGGAAAAGAGGAATGGTGTCTTCCAAAAAGTGACAGAAGAGGAGACGGAAAGAAAACAGAAGAAGAATAGAAGATTGTTGCATAGTTGCCTTTTACCGGTCCATTAATCAGTATCACCCAAAAGGCCTTGGGTTGTCTTCATATGTGCACATGCACCCACATACACACCCAATTGTGTACCATATTATTAAACATCCTGTTGTGAGTGTCAGACTACAAAGTGCCTAATTGGCTATTTGGCCAGTGAATCCATCATACTGCCACAGAATAAGGGTTGTAGAAGTCAGTGCAGTGAACCTGCTACACTGTAAAGATCCTTTATACTGCAGGGGACCATTTCAAACTTTGGTGCAGGAGAGTGTGCTGTTGGCTAACTGTGTTGCACTAACATGGTGTTTTAAATGATTTGATCATGTTTGAGTTTATTTATTTATTTATTTTTTTATTGTCAGTTCTATACCTCAAAAGGTCTTAAGAGAGGAAGCAACTTCTGCGTGATTAGTTTGACAATCAACAGGTGATCAACATGGGTTCAGCTCAATGGCTGCTCTTAATTGCTTAATACATGTAATGAGTTACAGGTTCAGCATTAAACAAATGAATCTCACCCTGCACATTTTAAACCAGAGATTTAGTTAACGATGCAAAGTCATAACGGCTTTGGTCAAACTCTATATTTGGCATTATACACAATCCTATGATTGTGAGATATGCTTGAAGTATGTGATGAGGATAACTCAGTGTTTGTAATTTTAACTGAATTTTAGCCATTTTTGTGTTGCTATGATCGATAACGTAATCAATATGAATTTTTGACTCTGATCATTCAGACTCATTAAAGTTGTATGAAGTTCAGTTTTGCTTAAAAATGTTAAAACCATAAGTGAATAGAAAGGCATGTTTTGAAGATTCCATAACTTCTTCCCAATGGACTTTGGTCCATTAATATCACAATTTCCCTCCATAAGAATGTAGATCCATCAGATAAATCAAGGTCGATTCATAAATATCATTATGCTGACAAAAAAAAACACTTTGAGAAACTCTATTTTAGCTCATTAAAATGGACTAATGTGAAAGTGTAAAACTGCTTTGAGAAAAATCCATTTTTGACATGATGGAGATGTCTGTCAGGCTCGACAGTAACAAAAAATGATGATAAATATCTTACAAAACTGAAAAGACAGGAAGAAATAAACTAAAACAGGAGAATTGAAATCATAACACAAACACCAAGAAACTCCAAAACTGTGATAAAAAACCTAGGAAGTTTCTCAGCTGACCTGATGAATAACAAGCATGTGTGTGTGTCTGTGTGTGTAGACCTCCACTGCAATGGTGCACATTGTAGTGACGGATGTTAATGACAATGACCCCGTGTTCAATTCTTCACTGCCGGTGAACCTCACAGTCATCGAGGAACAGCAACACGCCTACGTTGGACAGGTCAAGGTAGGGATGTGCTCAGACACACACACACACTCATGCACACACACTCACTTGTGAATCATTCAACAACAAAAAAACACAACCTTCTCCTCCTTTACCGCACTGGTTAATGTAGACGGTGCTGTTATGTATTCAAAATGTTCTGCTTCATGATCGGGTATTTGTTTGAGCATTTGAAAACTTTTTTTTCTAATAAGCGCTAAACAACAAAATGGCAGTTTTGTTGTTAAATTATGACTTTATCAAGAACTTCTTGACTGAGCGATGAAAGACCCAACAGGAGAGAAAGAAAAATGACACGACTTTGAGTAATTTAATTCTAATTAGTTAAAGTTTAGTCAAACTGATCATTTTTCATGCTGAAATACTGAATTGAAATGCACACTTGGTAAAACTTACCCTTTATAAAGGTGCCATTATGATTAATAATAGATGTGAGCTGTCCTTGGATGCAGCGGAGTGTAGTTTTAGCAGAGAGGATTCAGTTACTCATAATCTGCCACCAAGTGTTCAGACAATCTCTGGATTTTTGAAGAATTGTTATCTGAACCATTTTCACCATTTCAACGTCTCAGAATTAGAAATGAATTGATCGGGCCTTTGCAAATTTTATACTGCATTAAGTTCAAGTACAAGTCAAGTTTATTGTCATTCACTTCCCATGTGGTACATGAGGTGGAACGAAATTATGTACTCAGGGTCCCATTTACACCCAAAAATAGCAAGTACAGTACAAACAGAAACGGTATACAAGGATCTAAAATATATACTGAGATATGCAATAAGCACTAATATTGTAAAATAATATGGTATATTAAACAGCAGCCTGAACATGATTCTGTGAGCAGATCTGCTTTAACAAACATGCACAAATTAAAAAGTGTTCACAAATTCTAAATTGTGCCTTTTGGGAATATTCAGTTCTGCAGATGCATTTCTACATTTCTTCATTGCCTCTACATGAGATAAGATAGAACATTATTGATCCCGCAGGAATTTGTTGTCCCAGAGTTTTAGTACAAAGGATCACACACAAGGGATCACACAAGTTATAAAAAATAACAGAGAATATGGGAATACCAGAAATTAAGGTAAAAAACAGGTCAGGTGCAGACAGAAACATCCATCCATCCATTATCTTTACCCGCTTCTTCCTTTTTGGGTCGTGGGGGCCACTGATGCCCATGTCCAGCCATCACTGTGTGAGAGGTGGGGGACACCCTGGACACGTCTCCAGTCCATCACAGGGACACATAGAGACAAACGAGACAAACAAACATTCACTCTCTCACTCACACCTAGAGACAATTTAGAGTTAACAATCAGTCTAACATGCAGGTTTTTGGTCTGTGGGAGGAACCCGGAGAAAACCCATGCATGCACAGAGAGAACATGCAAACTCCACCCTGAAAGGCCTCCGGACCAGGATTTGAACCAGGGTAACCTCCTCGCTGAGAGGCATCATCTCTATCAGTTGCACCACTGTGCTGCCCCAGAGAGAAACATTAAAGTGTTTATTGCAGTGCAGGATTCTTTTTATTATCCTATGTGTAGAAAGAGGGAGGAGTTGAAAAATTGATAGCCACATGGAGGAAGGACTTCCTGTGGCGTTCGGTGGAGCATCTCGGTGGTCTCAGTCTACAACAGGCCTTCTTACAGGACCTGTTTGTCCTCAGAACTAACAAAATATGTAAAAGTTACAACACAGGGTAAATATTAATGCAAGTAGCAGTTAATTTTTCTATTTAGTACAGATGTGATCATCTCCTATAGGGATCAAAGATTAGTAGCACAGTGGTGGCTTTGTTAGTGAAGATGTTGCACCACTACTGTATGTACTTGATAATGGACAAGACACAAAACTTTGTCTTCATGTGCATGCATGAAAACTGAATCAGTTTGTGTTAACCACAATAAGGCAGCTCATTTTTACCATCTCATTACATTTTTTGGTACAAAACTATGTGTGTAGAACAATATTTTCTATATAAAAATCCATGGAAATTTTTAAAAAAGTTGAATTTAAAATAAATAAATATGCAAAATAAATAAATACCAAATTATAGCAAATAGATCTCGTGAGCTTGTTCCAAACCCCAATAGCTGATGATTCTCATTAAAAGGATTGGGGGTGAATCTGCCATTTTAAAAAGTCTCTGATCTTTTGACGACACGCCCTTACTTGGATTTGCTCCTAGCTTAATCCATAGCCTTTGTACGCTTGGTGTCAGGAGGTCTTTGATCAGTCTGACTTTTTGCTAAGGTCTAAATGTTGATCAGGAGTCTTTGGTTCAACACTAAAACTACTCCTTTTAAACTTATTTGAGCTTGTACATCAGTATAAACAACTTTGACAACTAATCCCAACTTAAATATTTAATATCCTAATCTAATTTAGACACTAGGTTCAGTTCCATATGTGTACATTCATCCTACATTGAAAAGATTTATGCTCAACTATTTCAAATTTGAACTTTTCATGCAGCCCTTTGGTGACATTCCAATTACAGCATCCCAAACCTGCCGTAATTGGAAGAGAGGGCCCTTGAAAGCACTCCTGTCCCAAATTCCCTCCCTTTCAAAGCCTCTTGGACATTTTCCAAAGGAAAGCAGATGGTGGGATCTATCAGAGGGCTCAGCAAGGCACGACTTTGGGTCTCATTCCGAACCAGACTTCATACCTATAGGTATTGAACATACTGTATTTCTGGAAGAATGGATGGAGCTGACCTTGGTCTGCTGGTGCATGTATGGTATAATGAGATGGAAAGCAAGAAGTAAATGAAACATGCTGGAGTGGCAGATGGAGATGAAGAATGACCCAAGGGGGAGGAAACCATTTGAAAGAGACTAAGGGAGAGGAGAACTAGGAGCGCAGCAGCATTCCCAATCGGACTTTAGGTTTACAACTTGAGTTTTTGTAGTAAAATTAGGAACAGCTAAAGCAAGAACTTAATATTTAACCATTTATTGTGTTACTGTTTTAACAAAAGCAAATCTATATAAAAATGTTTTGAGTTTGTAGGACAAATGTTAGAATAAACTGGAATCTGAGATTGTTGGTAAATGCGTTGAGGACAGTAAAAGGCATTTTCCAGAGGATAAAGTTACGGTCAAACAAACTTCTGAATCCACTCAGTGTTTAGAAATGTCAAGTTGGTGGACTTATTTTGAATGGCACATGTAAAAGGAAGGAAAAGAGAGAATAGCTGACAGGAAATACAAGCAACTCAAAGCAGGTGTAGACAGGTCTCAGGTAAGAGTGAAGAAGAAACGGCATTCTGAAGAGGCTGGAGGGTGCGTGCTTCAAGAAAAGAAAGCTTATCTCCGCTGGACAGACGGTTGCTACTCTGTTCTTGAGAATGTCAAAACTAGAGAAGTTCTCATTTCCAGTTTAAGAACCTGTCTGGAATTAAAGCTTTGGACCTTAAACTATCATTTATAAAGTACAGAGTTGAAAACTACTTTTTCCTATTTGTTCTGTTGTTACAAATCCTTAAAAATATAGTGATTTTTCAGATGTAATTTTGCATCTAATCTCAGGCTTTTCTCTCCCTTCAAGTAAAGTATTATAGTTTGTACTTGCAGATAAAAACAAATGTCTAAATACACTTTAAAGAACTTGTTTGAAATTACAGTAATGCATAATAAACGCATATTCCTGCTACTTTTCATGCCAGTGTTTAAAACTAAGATATTCAAATAATGGAAGGGTATTTTTGATAGTTTCATATCGTTAACATTTTGCAAATGATGAGCAAACAAACATACTAATAGTATTGTATTATAGGACCAAGGGCATTTTAAAAATATATAAAGCTTTCTTTTTGTATCTGTTCATCTTTTTTGACGTGTGAATTCACATTTTTTGCTATGTCTTTGCATGGAAAAACAATGTTGAAGACCTGAGCAGTAATCCATCCAATTACTTTTTGATTGGTTCTTAACTGCAACTGTGAAGAATAACTCGTTACTGAAAAAACAAAGAAACAAGTATAATAATAATAATAATTATATATATATATGTATATATATATATATATATATATAAGGAATTTAGAGGTACATTTTATAACACGGGTATTAAAAGTAATGCGTAAACAATCAGTAAAACTGATATTGTTATGCATACTATTAGAATATATGACTATAATAAATATTAGTAGGACATAATGTTCTTATAGACTTGGGCAGTCTCAGTAATTCTGTTTCAGCTGCAAGTTCTGCTGTTAAATCTCAGAATTAAATTAAAGGTGAAGGTGAGAATGTGATAGTGAGTGGAGAGAAAAAGGATGAAACTGGAAGAAAAGATGCATTAGCACCTGAATACAACAGGCAGAGCTAGTGATTGTGTGGATATAGTGGATATTTCAGTCTTCAAGCTGCTTTTTTTTGTGTCGGGGTGTGCTGAAAAGTCACAGACGCAAGGGCAGGTTAGACATTATTTCCATTGTGTTCCTGACTTTTAACTGCCTGGTATTATAATTACGTTCAGGGAACTGTGAGAATGACTGACGGAGAGGGAGAAACGATAAGAAAGCAAGTAATAAAAAACACCTGCACTCATGTGCACTCCCTCTGCAGGGTAAAAACTAACTCCAAGAACTGAACTTAAACGAATTTAGTCAAGAAGTGATTAATTCAACGTTCAATGTACATTAAATAATCTTGTTTTGCTTTTTTTTTTTTCAGGAGAAAATTTTCAAGAGCGTTCATGTTTTATTTTGTTTTTGCTTATTCACTTTTTCTGTTTGTTTGTTGTTGTTTGTTGGCTAGAAAAAAATATATATATATTATGAATAGTCCCTGGTCTTGACAGTTTACAATTCTGCCTCAGCTTGTACACCAGCAAATACATTTTAATATTGGCTGTGGCTTTCACTCAGATTGTAAACTGATTGGTTTTCAATTCGATTCAGTTAATTTATATAACGCCAAGTCACATCAAAGCGACAACAGTCACATACATAGAAAAGACAATTAGTAAAGTTCTCTATCTAAGG